AAGCTTTCAGATTTAGCACTGTGTTTGTTTCAATGAAACCTTCCTTATATATTTTAATTGTAAACATTATCAAACAAATAACACCAACTTGGTCCCAAGATCAGCTCACCAGAAAATGGATATTAATATACTTTGGTTGGTGATCAAAATCAAATTCAGAAATCATTCCAAAAAACAATAAACGTGTTAAAATTGTAGTTCACAAAATAATATATAGATTTTTACCAACTGTTTGTTATACCAGGAGATTGATTCCACAATAGTGCAAATTTTTTCGGCTTGCGCGTTTAGAAATTTATTTATTTATAAATAGTTTTCACAGCAGAAGGTTTGAATCAACTTTCAATTTCAATAACAGTAAGCATATACTTACAATATATTTTATTGTTCTCTTGTCATGCATTTGTATTTTAATAACGATTTGTACATAAAGAAAATTAAATTATTAACGTTTTGTAAGATCGAGTACAATGTCGCAAATAATTAAAATATCTTGTAAAATTTCGTTTGTTTAATTAGTTTTTAAATCGACAAAAGTGCCGCAGTAGAAAATTCCACCATTTTGCCAATTTGCAGTTAGTAGAAGTTAGACTTCTAAAAGTTTTTATGTTGTGTTACGATATACATGTTAATTTACACTTTAAATTATAAAAATAATATTTAAAAAAATATCTATATATAAAATCTTGATCAATTCTATCGCGTATTGATGCTTTTAAAACTGTAATATCATATTTTAAAGTAATTATTCATGTCCTGTAAACAAATTTGCATGGCTGTAGCAAATTTGATTACCGTGGTTTATTGAAAAATTAATTGTCAATATGATATATTAAGTAGTAATAAGATTTTAAATTTCAAATATATGCAAAGTCAAAATTTATCTTAAGTAATAATAATTGCATATATTGAAATTTGCATTCGTTCGAAACATAAGCAATTATTACGCCATTAATAAATCTTAACAATAATAATAATATAATATACAATTGATTTGTATAATATAAATTAAAATTTGTAAAATATAAATTAAATTTGTACTAAACAAAATTTCTTAAATATATTCTATATATTTTACTTTATATATATCTACGTTTAAAACCATTTTTATATGAACAGTTAAAATTCGCGTACATCGTACAATTGTACTAGTCAATAAATACAATTCACAATGGTGCAATGTACAAGTCAATAAATCAAAAATATTCATTTCCCATTCACAATTGATGATTTCGCTAGCAGGGCAATGCTCTTATTAGTATTTTAAAAAACTAACGTAAATACGATTAAAATATCCGAAAAAACTTCATAGTTTTCTTCGACGTCGATAAAGAAATTAAATTGTTAAAATTAACACGCCACGATTTAAACTTTAGAGAATAAATCCAAACATACGTCGCAAACGTTCTTAATAAATTAATTAAATTAAAGTATTTTTTTAAAATACTATTATTATTTCAGACGGCTTCTGGTGCAGGAGCAGTCAGGCTGGCGCACACCTCCAGCATTTCACCTGACTCGACTTCACCATTTACCGCTCTCTGAGAATCTCTCCAAGGTATCAGCAAAATGTGTATTCGCTAAAATAATTTAATTAAAATGACAAAGGATAATTAAAAAATATCAAAAAAATGTAAATATCTTCAGAAATCGTGGACATAATATAATATGTACGGATGGAAGAAAAAATTTTGCATTGAATAAATAAAACTGATGTTGCAAAAGCATATCTAATCTATCAACGTAGATATTTTGAATTTATAGATGAATATTTCCTCATTGAATGACTAAATATTTTCCAGTCTAGTTGCGAGACAATTTTTGTGACGCACGTACAACTAATTGTTTAAATGTTAGTAGATCTTTAACATTTAAAATTCGACCCCATTTATCATTTGAGCCCATCTTTGTTCAATGCCACGACTCATCCAGATCGATATCAAGCAGTATGATATCAAATTTCCACAAGCTTACGAAACGATGACTAATTGCATAATAAATTTTACTATCATAAAACATGTTCCACGCAGATATTGATGTTCGAATCAAAAATTCGATTTTCGCCATCGATTTAAACTTTCTACACAGTTAAGTTTTAGAATCATTTTCAATTAGTTTATCTTTAAAGATTCACAAACGTGGAAGTATATAAAGGTGTATAAGTATATTAGTATTAGAACTTAAACAAAAGGATCAACACGGATTCATTTACATAAGACTATAAAAGTAAATCGACTACGATTGGATCAACTTACAAAATTAAAAGCACTAACCTGTTTAAGACTGCCTTTTGTCTGAAGAATTTTGATCACAGCCATAATCGGGATCATGGCAACACTTGAACCAGCAATGCACCATCCCATCACATTTGCCCAATAAGGGTATACGTAACCTTCATAAGTCAATGGTTCGTAACCTATAGCAATAAAATTAAAATGAAAATGAAAATTGAAAATTAAAATTGGTATAAATATTTTTTATAATCTCAAAGAACTTACCTAGTAAACCGTACATTGTAATGAAGATTAGGAATATAGGTGCCACAAATTTCCAACAAACTTTCCAATAGATACCAGGTGAGAAACCAATCATGTCCTTTATATCCTGGCAAAATCGTTCGGTGCCTATAGAGAAAAATTTATATAAATAATTGATATGGAATAATAAATAATTCGAATAATCGATATTGCAAATAATATTGTAATATATTTATACATATATAAAATATTTTGACATGTGTTAGTTACTATGACAAAATTTAATTAATTTAAAAAACAGTTAGTTCCTCCGAAATAGATTAACCAGTTTTTACGATATTTTATATTCACATTCAGTACCACTTTTCATACCCTTAAGTGATTAGGGTTGGCTACCTCTAACAATTTTTTTTAAAATAATAGACTATTTTTTATTACAATTTTGTAAGGCGGGTACAAAAATATCTAATTCATAATAAAACTAGGCATCCACTAAAAACTAGAATTGATTATATTATTCTGAATTATGTATTAAACAACTAAATAGATTTTTTAATATAATTATAATGAAAAATTTATTTCTTTGTGAGTGTGTATTTTGAAACATTTTTAATTTCAATACTTTCAAAGTTTTTCAATATAATGGGATATTCCAATAGTGGAAATTCTTTATAAAAAAATTAATCAATATTTTTATGTAATTAGAAAAAATAATACATTATAAATTTGAATATATAATATATTATTGTCGTTTTTGAATGTACTAAAACTTTGTTTCAACGGCACTTACTTATGACATATTATATAGAATCAATAGTCAATAGCTAGTTTCGTTTCAAAACGGAGGAAAAGCGTATAATTATGATACATTTTTTAGTATCTCTACATTTTTTAGTAATCTTAATTGAGATTAAAGATTCAGTAACTCAATAAAAATGGTCTATTTATGTATTCTAATAGTTTCGCAGAACTACTTGATCTGTATTAATTATTCTCATCTATGGTAAATTTACAAAAATGCCAAATTATCGCCAAATCTTGGTGGCCAAATTTTAATTGTTTAATTTACCCAAATTCAAACTTATTCTAATAGCAACAAATTTTTACCATATATCCAAGAGACAGCAATAGATTCAAAAAGTACTGCAACCAATATGCTATAACCAGCTGCGTATCGATCCAAAAGTTGAAAGAAGTAGAAACCACCTTGAGTACAACTTGCGAGTCCAACAAGAAAATATATTACGAATAAAACTGCAACAAATTTTTCCCTGTGTCTTCCTAATACTGGAAATTCATCACTTAAGGCCGTTATTATGGCTTCAGAACCGCCAAACTAAAAATAAAGATAAGTAATAATTAGAAAAAATATTATTTATATACACCGATATATCAAAAGTGATTTGAATACCAATATAGTTCCTTAGTACTTAACAGATGATAATTTTTTATGTGATTCTGAAATTTTTAAATTTATTGAGCTTCAAATATAATAATTCATAAAACATTCGCTAAATATCTACTTTTATTGTTCAACTCAATTAAATTCATATATTAGGATGCCATGCAAATAGCATTCGTTTAAGTATATAACATTGGTATGAAGTGACCTTCTAATGTTTTTTAAATTATTTTTTATAAATATTATGAGAAAGCTATAAATTTGTTAATGAATGTAAAAATGAATACAATTTAAAATTTGACACTTACAGAACTGTCCAAACCAAGTGTGAGCAACATCAAAAAGAAGATGAGCGCCCAAAAAACGCTTCCTGGCATAGTTGCAATTGCTGCTGGATAAACAATAAAAACAAGACCAGGGCCTTCGGTCGCAACATCTTGTATAGAACGACCAGAAGCATGAGCCATATATCCTAATACACTGAAGATCACAAAACCAGCAACAAATGATGTGGCGGAGTTTATCATGGAAGTCAACAAGGCATCTCTAAAAAAGGGAAAAAAGTGATTAGTTTTGACCATGCTAAGAAATATTTAGAATAAATAACAAATTTCATGTTTTTTCGAGATCCAAAAGCCTTAAGTAACTCAATATCATGATTATGTGATTTTATCTTTGATTGTTATTATTCAGCCATAAAAATAATTTTATATTTTTTTATATATTTTTTCTTGTACTCACTTGTATACATTGTTGTGATACTGATTGTAGGAAGCATATGCCAAAAGCACACCAAATCCAGGCCCCAAAGAAAAAAATACTTGAGTGGCTGCATCAACCCAAACCTACAGAAAAAAATAATATTAATATTCAATTTGCATTGCGTCACCTCTAAAATTATTATACATTTGCTGCTAAAATTCTTATATCGCAGTATATTTTTTCTATGAAGCAACAACGACATTTTCAGCTATAGAAACACTCCTTTATTTGAGGAAGAAATTGGACACTTTGATAAATTCACTTCATGCTACAGAAGAAAATTCATTGGTTTTTCCATATATCATATGTTATAAAATATCACTTAAAATGATACAAGTTGTGCATGACACGTTGCATCATGAATCATTTTTAAAGAACTGCTTGAAATTTTGTTGTAATAACTGAAACCTTATGTGTTTGAAAAGCATAGATATCGTTTATAATAATTATCTTGACGATTTTCTTTGGAATTTATTATTTATAATTATAGTATAGAAATAACAATACTAGTTGTATATTATTTAAATTTGATTATTTATGTTTCTTACCTCGGCTTTTGTCAGAGTTGTAAAATTTGGACTTAAGTAGTATTTAATACCTTCTGCTGATCCTGGTAACGTAATTCCGCGAATAAATAAAATTATTAATACTACGTAAGGAAACAATGCTGTAAACCACACCACCTGAAATAGGAGATAAAAGTTATATAATTTGTGTTAAGACTGACTATTCTATAACTTCATAATTTTATATAATAATTGATTTTCCAATGAATATGGTCACACGCCTTTATCTTCATCTTAATGAATAAATCTTATATTTATGGTTCTAAGGTAAATTAAATTTGACTTCTGATATGTTAGACTTATAATGAAAGTGTAATAAATAATTATATTAGATATGATTGTATCCAAGATTTTATTCAGATTTAAAATATTAGCTTACAGATATCTAATAAATATTCTGCCATTTGCTTACAAGCATGGGGACACTTGGAATAAAATAATAACATCATATACTAAATAGAGTACATTAAAGTTTATATAGTTTATTATTATGCCAGAACTAGAATTTATTTAATGCTTTTAAATAAAATGCAATTACTTTAATTTTTTTATTGCAACAATAATAATAATCATTGCGAGTGCTTAATTCAAAATAAGTGTATGAGGCAGGATTAAGTATGTAAACTTCTAGTACATAAAAACAAAATTTTGCATTCAAATAGAATTTTCTCTTGATAAAGTATTTACGTATTTGATAAAGTAAAAAAAAATAAAAAATATAGGTATTAAGAAAAACAACACACCTTTCCTGATGTGCTAATTCCTTTCCAAAGTGAAAAGTAACAGATAATATAGACAGCCAAAAGACATAGTGCCATATCCCACTTGATTCTTCCTAGATCGTGAATTCCATCGCTTTGGTCAAGTTCCAAAATAACCCGCCTAAGACAAGAAAAGAAATGTCCATCAATTTAAAATACATAATTTTATGTAGAGAAGATTTATGAAAAGTCGAGTAGCAGTATATACTTTTTTAATGCAAAATATCTCTACAAAATATATCTATTTACATAATTTTATACCCTTTTTCATAACCAAAATTCCAAAAAGGTTTAAAATACTCCTGTGATCCAATAGCTTTAGGGAGTATTCGATTGTGGAGGCATGAGTTTTAAGTGATATTTAAATCATCGTAAAATGGCAATCAATTTTTATATTTTTTTTTATAATTGCTTTATCAACCAATAGTTTTAAGGAAGTATACTAGTATGGAGGCATGAATTTTAAGTTATTGTTAAATCATTGTAAAATGTCAATCAATTTTTATATTTTTTATAATTGCTAAAACTTATGATTAATTTTGATTTTAATTTTGCAGACTAAAACATTGCTCAATTTTATTTGAATAGCAAGTATTTCAGATCGACAGCACAATTAGCGCAATGCCCTTGAACGGCATAGGGACTCAAGATGCAGAATTTATAATACTCGCTACTAATTGAAATTATAATACAATTAAAATTCTAAGCATTTATGTCCATCCCAAGAGACTTCCAACATTGAGAATTCCCTACAGAATCTATTTACTTAAATACACTCCTATTTGCATGATGTAAATTTATATGTAGTGGTGATTCTTTACATTACTCAATTTGCTTATGGAGTTGATAATAGTTCCAATTTAATAATTGTACTATTCGCTATTTTATCATGTGTATTAATTTAATATACATTGACATATTAAGGTCACAAGTTTATGAAGAAATTTCCAATTATTTTAATTTTTTGTCAACTATTTATAAAAGTAGTTCTCTGGGTTATATCAATTAAGCACAGTCTTCTTATTGACCCACGTGTTCATTGATTATGGAATAATCCTGATTAATCATAAAAAAAGTAATAATCATTAATTTCTCACGAAGCACATAAATTACACAAAATCATGAAAAGCAAAATTTCTTGATATTTTTACCTTTAAAAACCCTTTGATAAAAATATTTTAGCACCCCTAAAAATTGATGTTTTGTATTAAAGTATATGTTTAATTTTTTTGTTAATGCTTTCGAAAAAATTTATAAATCATTTAAGTAATGTAAAAACATATTGTTCAGGTTGACGGAGTAACAATAATTTAATAAGTTTTTAAAAAAAGGTCATTCCAGCTGTTTTAGAGCATTTGATTTTAATCTTATACGCTTTAATCTTTATGATTTTTCTCAATGAATTTGTAGTCCAAAAGTTTGGTCTAATACACCGAATGTTTTGTTTTTATATATTCAAGCCAAACTGAGGAGCATTTGATGTTAATCAATTTTTTATCGCATAAGCATAAATTTTGTCAATGAATTTGTAATCATATATTGTATTATTTAATTATTATTTTGTAAATATAAAAGTATGGTCTAATACACCGAATGTTTTGTTTTTATATATTAAAGCCAAACTGATGCATTTGCCAAGCTTTTACTCAGAAATTCAAAAAGCCCTTTACCTAACTTAACTGCACCATAAATAAAATTTGCAGAGTTTCATTTGGGTAATATAATTGATATTTCAGTTAAATTATAAATATTATATTTGCATAACATGTTTGAAAAAAAAAGTAAGAAAATGTATCCCAATCGTTACTGTTCTAATTCATTTACCAATCCAAATAATGATCTTTAGTTATTTTTTTCGATGCTTTATCTATTAATACGTATAAGCATTAAGGTAACTATAAATATTTTAATTCTTGCTTCTGAACATTAGTATTTATAATTATAAGTAATTAATTTTTATTGTTAAGATAATCAACACAATGGCCAACTGACTGATTATAAATGTGAGGTACTTTGATATAGCAGTATGATAGTAAATCATATACTGCTACAATGAAATAAACAAATGTAATTAAAGATTCATTGACGATTAAAATTATAAGTAAAAGGACTGATGTAATAATATTATTTATAAATTAATAAAAACATATAACAAACAATAAAACAAATAACATATTTTATATAATGATGATTTCATAGCAATTTTGCAACTTTTTTCGATGATATTGAGTTATTTCTTCTCAGCTTTTATTATGCGTAATGGAATTGTTATTAAGATGCTAGATTTAAGGTTAATATAAACATATACATTATTTTTATAAAATTACTATGATTTATAACGCATTACAGTCATATTTCGTCTTCTGTGTTACAAAGCTTCTCTCAAAATGTTATAAATTCGAGATTCTATAATAATCTAGTATAAGTTTAAGTAGAAAAACATTTTCCAAATTTTGAATATTTTAAAAAATATACCAAAATACAAGTATTTGAAAATCAACCAAGTATTTTATATGTTGTTTAATATATAACCGATCGTTGAATTGTGTAATTAACCTATCTAATAGATCATTACACAGCGCAAATATATTTGTGGGAAACCACATGTACCACATGTACGACCACACCTACCACGTGTGGAATACCATGGAACGTTTACCGCATTTACTACATTTACCACTTAAATACTCACATGGACATAACATTTGCAAACCAAGTTTACAAAAAATATCTATTCTTTTATATTTTTCTATTCATTATACTTGCAGCTATAATATCTATAAATAAATATATGCAAATGGTAATTTAAGGCTACTAAATAGAAATATTTTATATTATCATATATATTGTCAACAAAGTAAAAATGAAAATGCTATAATTTCAATATGTTGTCATGATATGAATATTCTATTCCTCACATATATTTATTTATTTATTTGTTCATAATCACATATATTTATTTCAGGCTCTTGTCAAGCTTATTCATAATTAATACATAAATGGAAGTAATTTTAAAATAATATTATATATATATATATATATATATATATATTAAATGTAATATAATATATTAAATACTTTTCGTTTACGATTATCATTATAAATCCTTAATGATTTTAATTAAAAAGTTATTGCATTTAAAAAAATGGAAAGTATTTTATAATATATTTCGATGGTAAAATGAATGTTATTACTCTAATTTAAAGTTAACGCACCCATTGCTTGTAAAAAGTAGTTGAAGACAATGCACCATTTTTTGCAAATATATTTTTTTCTGAATTTGTAAAATATATGCATTATTAGTTATTCAAGTTCATAAACTTACGTAAAATATTCGGCTGCTGGCGATTCCGAATCAGTTATATCAATTTGTGCAGCTGCTGAAATATTCTCTCTTGTATATTGAAACTGTAATAGAAAAGTCAATTAAATTTTTCATAAACTCATATAAATTTACTAAAATGATACTTAATTTATAATTAATTTATTTATATATATTTATAATTAAATTTCATCCAACAGTAAATTTATAAAAAAATTACCTAATCTTTAAAAATATCTAAAAAAATATTAATATATATCTTTAGAAAGTTTTGATAAAATCTCAAAATATATGAAGTGATCAAATAAGAATAACTAAATGAAAAATAATTATATTACGAATAATATTAAAAACTGCAACACTTTTTATAGCCAAATTAACCCTCCGTCGGTCGGAGTGGTCTGGCCAGACTTTTTCCGACTTCAATTTAAAAAAAAAACTTTTAGTAATCCTACCGACTTGAAATTTTTAGACTTTTCCTAAAATTTCATTAGCTGATGTCTGCCGATCAATCAAAAAAATCAGGACGAAAAAATGTGTGGTCCAGCCAGACTACTCCGATCATTCGAAGGTAAATAAATATCCGACCGACGTAGGGTTGAAAATGCTGTAATCGTAAGTTAAGTAAAATATAGACAATTTAAATTTCTAAATAAAATACATTAAATCATACATCACAGAGTTCAAGTATTTCAGTTCTGAATATCTTCAATATTGGAGGCAAAATTTTTGTGATGATGAATATGCATTTTATAAAGTTATTTTTAGAAATACTAAAATATAACTTGATGTATATAGATTTTTTGTAAGGTATGATAAAATGACCAGTAGATATCTCTAATATAATCGTTTTAGGTGATTTCAATAAAATTTTCTCACTGCAGGTTTAAAATCAATTAAAATTGAATAAATTCGCATCGAATTGAAGAAATTTACTGGTATTTTGATACATCTATAATCTACTATATCTATCGAAAAAAATTATATATGAATAATATATAACTTACAGGTCTACAAGCAGGAGTATTCCAATAGTTGTCGCACGATGCCCAAGGCAGTTCGGATGTAAACGACGCGAAGAAGTACCTCAGTGCCCACGCTATTATTACATTATAGTAAAAAATCAACATAAAAGGCTATCACCACCACCGCATAACCGATTCCTGTAAAAAAAAAAATATAATTTTGTTTATTAGCAAATTGTAGTACCATTTCAATTCTGAATAAAATGTCAATATCCTTAAATTATTGTAAAAAAAAACATGTAGACCACAAAATAATTCAAGAAAAACTAAAATTTGATGTCCTTCCTGAATAAAGATTGACTTCATTCATTATTATCACTCATTCTTACGACATTATTATATTATAGCTTTGGGTTTAAAAAACATCTAAAAGCTCTAAAAGAAGCTTACGAAGTACAGTGTGGGAGACCAACTCTATGAGAATGTGTTTTAGGTGATTATATATGGTGATCAGGTACTTTGTAGGTTTAGGTAAATACATTCATCTGTTTCAATTCAAAGCGTTTAACTTAAATAAATTAAGATAAAAAGATATTATTACATAGGCGTTATTATTTTTAGCATGTCTGTACAACCGTAGTAAATCTCTTCAATGATAAAATTAACAATTGATTTCTTAACAACTTAAGATGTTCCAAAAATTCTAAAACAAGAACAATAAAACCTCCAATAAACCAATAACTCATTAGGGATTATTTTCGACCTGTTTAATTTAGTGCATTCGTTGCTGTAAAACTTGATGTTTATAGAAAACACGATTTTATTCGTATCTATATTTTGATAAAAAATACTAAAAACTAGTGGGGTGCATGGCATCGTGCCTTAAGGCAAATTGCTGGAACTTTTGCCGTACCGTAACAAATTGTTCGAGGAATTTTAAATATTTTCAAATAGATTTTTATAAAAACTGTAACATTGTCTTATATAAACTGAATTGCAAAGTTGAAATTATTTGTTTAAAGTATATTAGACCTTTAGTCCGAATTAAAAAAATTAAAATCTGAATTATTTTCAATATAAAAAAATGTGCCATTTGTTGTACATTTAGCTCTGTATCATCAAAATGGTTGAACCTGCCTTTGCCAAAAACTAATCATCTCTTCTCCTAATCATTACAAATTGAATGTTTTTTAGATCATTCAAATCGGATACTCTGTTCTCTCAAAAGCTCGATTTGTATTTTCTGCACTCTTTGCTCCGTATCTCCGTAATGGCTGGACCTGCCTTTGCCAAAAACTAATCAGCACATCTTCCTATAAATAGGAATCGAATGTTTTTTGAACCATTCAAATCGGTTGAACCGTGCGCCCAAAAACGTGCAAGAAAAAATGGGGACATACAAAAGACAGACACATCAATTTTTTCTGAGGTATGCCAAAATGTTCAGAAACCTTCAAAACGTCGAGAAATGCAAAAATTATCATTTTAGATTTTTGGCCCATTACTATAACTACCCTACGGGAAGTTAAAAAATGTTAAAATGTATTTATGAAAATGTTTAATTTCCTTCAAGGCAGATACTAACATACACCATCATAATTTATCACGGTGAAATAAATAAGAGCAAATAAGCAAAAAGGGTTTTGAAACTAATTTAACATTTTTTTGGAAACCTTAATTTTTTAATAATTTATTTTTTTCTGCTAATGTCTAACTAACTAATTGATACACTTAAAAAAATCACTCGCAAGTTCCTGTGAAATTGATAAAATTTATAAGCCAATGATAGCGAACATATAATGGGTTATATTTAATTTCATAACTGTGTATAAACCTCACTCGTAAAAACTACTTGCTATAAATAGAAGATTGAACACTTTAAACTATTTATAAGTACTTTACTTTATATTACGCTTGTCGTACAAGTTGTAAAAATTTAGCATGTTGTTCCTGCGGAAGTTACGTCAAATGTTAGTGCAAACATTCAAAACGTGAACAAACTTCGGAGATTCTTGGAAACATAAAACAGTTTGTTTAGAGAATAGAACAATTTTCGATTTTCGATTATTTTGATTATTTCGATTATTTGCTATTCCGGGCCCTACGTGAAATTAATAACGCAATAGTTTAAAAGTATTTATTTGATGGGTCAAATTATATTAACGGACAATGCACGAATCATCTTCAATTGACCAGCTGTTGTTACGCATGAATATATTACCAAATATTTGTTTTATTGCACTATGGCTACTATAATAATAAAAGATTTGATTTGAAAATCGGCGCGCAAGAATAAGTGCTTTTACTGGCAGAATTAGTTAGGATAACAGCATGATTTTAAGCTAGCAAACAGAACCGCCTTTTAAAAATATAAAAATAGATATATGTATATGAAATTTTTATATATCATTAATGGTCTATATCCATACCTATAAATTAACAATCATATATAAAAACTCAATATGCCACAAATCGACGTTGGATGTTAAAAACGATATAGTACAAGAAAGTCTATCATCTTGTAAAAGATTTTACTTTTTAGATATTGGTGGGCAATTGGATCCATTATATAGTATCTAAGCTGGTATTTTGTCCAGAGTCAGTATGTTAAACTGACTCAAAACACACGATTAAATACTTCAACGCACATTTGGTAAGATTTTGTCTAGAATTTCTTGACCAATATCTAAAGAGAGTCCTCACAAATATTGTTTAAATCATAATTGATTAGCATATTGAGCATGCCAAAATTATTCTTAGTAAAGAATGAATTAATATTACGTTTAAAAAGATTCAACTCAATTTTAAGCAGTTTTGGACAACATTATTGTATCAACTGCATTATTTTCCTTCAAAAATTTATCACACCCTTAAGATAATTTTTCAAATAGAGATTGCTATCAAACTAAAATACAATTACCACCTTGATTCAGAAGACTATTCGAACAATTCAAAAATGATTCTAAAAGATTCAATTATCATATTTCAATTACCGAGGCGTTTCTTCATAATTAATAGTTCAGAATGTAATATAATTAAAAAAAAAACGATAACTATTCGAAAAGTGCATGTTGAAAGTCACGCTAAAAATTAAATTAAAATATGCATTTCGGTTGTGAGAGCGGATACATTTCTTTCGTTTTAATAGTCATTTTAATTTGGAATATAAAAGCTAAATAAAATATGTTGTAAATTAAATGAAATTTATTTAATTATTTTCATATTTTTCATATGTGAGATATACTAACTATTATTATCAAGAGCTAATTCAGTTCTGATTAGTATAACATCGCTTACCATATAAAATCTTTTATGTGATTATTAAATTAATATCGCAAGATAAAGAATAAGAACCATTTATTAACGTCATTATGATTTACAAGAGTCTTTATAATGACTCCAAATAATAATTATAAAGAAATTAAAAGGGTTACATCATAAGCTGTTAACCAAGTTTGAGATAATTTAATTATGTTGTAGAATAATGGGCCAATTAAATACATATAATTAATTTTAATGCTACTTAAAACAATTTATTGACAATTTTTTATATAGCCTTTGCAAAATATACCGATTCCTGACATCAAAATTATTAATGGAAAGAATATTAAATTGAAATTAAATGAGATGGTTTAAAAGATAATCTCCCAAATATTCTAATAAAACACCGGAATAGTAATATGGCATACTGTTTATGAAAATCTGGTACTACTTCATGCATTGACAGAAATTTGTAATTGAATTATATTAACCATTTTGCTTTTACAAAAGATTTATTTCTTTCCGGCAAATATTATTTATTTTAATCATACGTCTGTTGATAATAAATTCACATCAAAATTCATCGATCCAAACAATTAATTTAATATTTTATATATCACCTATTTATAATTTGTATTGAAGTTCATAAACAAAATCATAAAATTTAAATTATTAAGAACTTGATGGACTTCTCCACATATTAGAACAAGTACATTTTAAAGCAAAGGGCTCATTTTAGAATATTGTTCAAATACTGCATATTAGATCTTCGAATTCAAGATAGAAGTAGACTAAAAATTTCGACGAACAATTTGATATAATAGAAGAATTTAATAGTGATCAATAAATTTTTGTCACATTCCGATATGTTTCAGCAAAAGAGAGAAATCCATTAGGCGAAACTAAATTTGATCAATCGTGTCAAGAACAGAAAAGGGTTACTTATGATTTTTCCATAGGTGGAGCGATAGTAGTGAGTTTTATTTCTTAGACGTTTTTGATGATATTAATAAGATTTATATACAAAAGATTACTCTCTACTAATTGTAAGGTTAGATCTGAGAATAAAGTCGCTTTAATGTTGGATTCATTTGCATGTCAATCACTATTTTAGTGCTGAAATATGCAAGTTGATGATAAGACAGTTTTCCAATAAATATAAATTTTGAAGAAATGGCATGGTTGGTCATCATATAAGACAAATATATAAATAATATTTATAAAATCACTACTAATCACTATTTAAACAGATAATTACGAAGAAATGATCTGTCCAATGTTTATAAGACTTAACCCAGATTTTTCCAATGTTTGAAATTTAAAAAATCGGCAATTAAGCTAATCATATTTATGTTTCTTGAAAAAGATTTTAATATTTATCAATTGCAAAAATTTTCATCCAAGTTTTCGTAAAAAACTCTCTAATGATTTTGAAAATTCAAAAACTTCTCGAAAGATATTTGGAAATCGTGTTGATTTGTTTTTGTCAAATATTTTTGATTAGCAATCTTAATAAAAATTTGTACGGCGATAAAGTTGCTAATCGAAAATTGATACTAATTTATTGATAATGTATCAATTAAGATACTAATTTATGCATACTAAAATATTAAAAGCCTATGGCAAAATTTGGATCAATATGCAGTGCTTTTAGAAAATTCGTTTATAGTTCGTTTTACAATATTGAGAATTAAACCATTTGTCGAAAATAATTAACATGCTTGAAAATATAGTCCAAATTGAAAAATCTGCAATAGCTTCTCGCATTATGATGCTACTCGGTATAGGGGAGACTGGGTAAAAATTTATCTTAAAATAATTTTGTTAATTTACCAGTTTATTGTCCACACCCCGAGGAAGGTTGTAACAATAGGTGAACACCAATATAACTTATGGTCAGAAACGACATTTATTGTCAGAACGATATATATTGTCAGAAAACAGAATTATTTTAGCAAAGATTATGAATATATATAATAAAACTATATATAACAAAACATATTTTTTAAACAAAGTTAATAAGAAATCTTCGTAAAATCGTTTTTTTGTACATTAAATTTTCCATTCCTTTCTCTTTCGTATTTTGACTTATTATTAGTTAAGTTAATTTTGTTTCATCATTTGATCTTCACTCGAGAAAGACAAGAAATACATGTCACAACCGTACTCACAAAATTTGACCAAATCGTACCCAACGCAGCATACAAGAAGGTAACAGTTAGTATTAAAAGAAATCGAACTGAAAAACTTACTTTTCACTCTTTAAAAATAATGCGGTCTACAGATCATGTTTATGTATCAAATCATGTCAATGTAATCAAACAAACATACCACATCATTCTCCCTTTGGACCCTATGTTAAAATCAGTATAGTTTAGCTGTTATGACGACTGTCACTACCCTGTCAGTACCCTGGCACAACCGTACTTCCAAACTTATAAGGGGGCGTCCATTATTCACGTGAGCGAGTTTTTAAGGATTTTTGGACCCCCCCTCCCCTTGGTGATACATGGTGATATTCAAAATTACCCCCCTCCCCTACCAAACATCGCGTGTATTTTTAGTTACGTGATAAAACTGTAAAATTTTAATTTTTTTTTGAAAATGTTTGATTTAAAAAAAAAACTGTAAAATTTGAAAAATAACTACACATGATATCTTACTATACCCTTCCCTCCCCCACGTGATATTTTGCGATTTTTTGTCAGCCCCCCCCTCCCTAAAAACCTCACGTGATTAATGGACGCCCCCTAAATCACTCATAAATTAATATATTGATTTTTTATTGATTAAGTCGATCTTTTACCCAGTTCGGGAAGTTCATGCAACATGCCTTAAGGGAAAGTCCTACTTACCCACTTAGTTATAACTATCAATCTTAGAATTAAAGGATCAATATAAAATTGAAAGTATAATATTGAAAGAGTGCGTATTTTGAGAAACATTATAAGATTATAGGCTAATGCTCAGGGATCATATGGCGTAGAGATCTCGACCGTCGTTTCTTATTGTCGTACGAGGCGAGAGGATTTAAGCACAAATCATATCAAAATTCTTTAGCCTTTAGCGGGAATGGCTGCGAGCACGTTCGCAGTCGCGGAAAAGCACTTACTGACCGCGGGTAAAGTGACACTCGGCAATCCACAACGGCTCACCTCAGATATATCATTGTAATGTGACGTTTCCTTTAAAAAATACATCCAGACGAGTTCGAGACCGAAAACGGCTATGCAATCGTTTCGAGATATGTGAAATTGAATAACTACGAGGGTTAACATTCAAATTGAATAATATTTTTGTATTGCGAAGATGCACTCATGAGCTGCAAAATGCATTTTCAAAATATAGCATTGTATTTTGCAAATCAAATGGTTTTATAGAACAGTTTTTTAACTGAATACATAAGAATAATATAAATGTTATTCAAAAATATTTAGATATCAACAAGGAAATCAACATAGATAGATAAATAAACATTAAAAAATTACATCGTAGTACCAATCTTTATTTAATGAAAAATGCCTGAATCAAAGGAATATTTTACCCTGTTCCTTGAAAATAATAAAACAAATTAAATATTTGTACTAAACGTAGGTTTATTAATTAGAAATTATTTCTATATTATTCGCAGTTTCTATAAATCTTTGAAGTCATTAAAATAGAAAATATTTGTTAGGCAGTTGTTGATAGAATGAAATTATATCGCCAGCAAAAAAGTAAAAAAAATACAAGCAGACAATAAATGTATGTTAATTTTAATTACATGAAGTTCTTCAAACACAATTACATGATGAGTGAATTTTCGAAACAATATTTGTTTAGGCGTTTTTAACATCAACTTCGTAAACGAATATTATAGAATTTATTAATCAGCAATTACTTCATTTCTCTAATGAAGGTTCATTTCTAAATGCTAATTACAATTACAAACCTAAATAAATAGTTTTTAAATATTATACATATTTTTAGTGCTATTATAAATATATAATCTATAATTTTTCATTATATAAATGTGTATGATGGTTGACACTAATAAATGTGTGCATCACGAGTGTTACCATATTACTAATAAACATTTTTCAAAATTGTTATATGATGTATTTATTTTTACTTATGCCATCTAGTACAGTAGCAAATAAGTTTTACTTCAATCGCACTCTTTTTTTGCAATTCAAATGGTTTTATAGAACAGTTTTTTAACTAAATACATAAGAATAATATAAATGTTATTCGAAAATATTTAGAAATGCATCATTTGAATGATATGTATATAGGCTAGGACGGGGCACAAAGGTCCAATTTGACTTTCAGTAATTATGTTGCCTAAACCAAATGAACTACATAACTATCGAACTATGTTTTGTAAAATACCGCGTTAATTCCTAATTATGAAAATATGTTTTTTACACTTTTTCTAAAATTTGATATGTCCCTTTTTAGGCTTTAGAGAATGAGCAAAATAATCCGCCATTTTATTTTTAATTTTAAAGTGATTTTACGGAATAATAGCTACATTATTCAATCAAATCGATGTAATTTAATTATTAAGTAAAACAAAAAAAAAATCAAAATTATAATCTAAATATATATTGTTAATTATAATAAACAAATATATTTATCTTATGTAGGTATTTTAAATTTTGTTTATGTAGGTATTTCTGTTAGATTTATTATGATCAGATTAATTGTTTCTTGAAAAGTAATTCTTACAATTAAGATAAATGCACGCATCTTTTGCCCTCTATTTTAAAATATAATCGTTTAAACAGCTTACTTTGGATAATTTTGTTTTGATTAGAAAGCTCTTTTTAACTAATCTGGTATTTCTGTTTGATTTATCATAATCATATTCATTGTTCCTTGAAATATAATTCTAACTGGATAATTTTGTTTTAACTGGAAAGCTCTTTTTTACTAATCATTTTAATTACCGCGTATACTATGTATCACAATCGTACACCGTTTTGAGGATTCCGAAATATATGAAGTATAATCTTGTTCATGCAAAACTATGTTGATTTTTTAATTTCGTTAAGTTAAAAATTCTCCGCATTGACCAACTGAATATTTCGATATTTTCGATATCGATTCAAACAATATGCTTCAAAGCAAAACACCAGTTAAACCTAGTTTAATAATAGTTTGCTAATAAATGACTTTGATATATTTTCAGAGTAAGTTATAGCTGTATCATTGTAAAAGCATTGTTGTGATTTGAATATAGCTGCAAGTTTTATAGCCATTGAAATATTTCAAATTTTACAAACATTGTATAAAACCTTGGATTATATATAAACTATTTTAGAATTTTCATGCCACTCAAAAATATAAGAAATTATTCATTTACACGATATAAAATGTTATAGGTTTTGGTACAGAAATAAATTCTTTCAGATTTTTTAAATCAATAAACAGCTTAAATTTCTAACGGCCGAAATGGTTTGAAAGTTTTATAAATAAAACATAAAAATTCTCATATATTATGAACCAAAAAATAATAATAACAAATAATGTTTATTGATAAAACTGTATGAAAATCTTTCAATTTGTTGCGCATTATCTTTTAATTTTTATCTATCCATTAGCCATTTCTGAAAAATAATAAGAAATCACCAAAAATTAATGATATATACATGGTGCATGTTACACATGAGCATACATCGTCAGAAAAAAAATTCAGAACGTGAAATCAATCGAAAAGATTCATTTTCGATTTAGAGCTTTTAGCTGGCGAAACAATAGCTTGAAATGCATTATATTTGCTCAAACAAAATCATTGAAAAGATGATTGAGTCTATTTTTAAAACATCTTCAAATCGTTAGGCATTATTTAATAAAGTGGCACCCAAAATCAATTAAAATTACATGTATACCAAGTACATGAAAAATTTGATAACTCTAAAATTTATTAATGATTCAAAATTTATTTTATTATTATTACCTTTAAATAGAGGCACTATTCTTCCCCAACACGTGATTGCACCTTTCCTATTGAATTGACCAAGTGCAAGTTCCATGTAGAAGAGTGGAATGCCTCCAACAAGCAACATTATACAGTATGGGACTAAGAATGCACCTGAAAATCAATATGAAAACATCATGTAAATTTTTTAAAACAACATATTACTTTGTCAAATTAAATTATTAACAAATATGGAATCATCTGACAAGTAAAGATCATAAAGGAGTAAAAAATCCTAGACAAATTTTAAAAATTAGCTACTGGAGATTGAAAAATTAGCTACCGGTGAATTGCACCTTACCAAGCCAATTATTTTTAGTTGTTCTTCTTATTGCAAATTGTAGCAACTTTCTGATACATAAAAAAATTAAATAACAAAAATTTAATTCACTTAATTATGTTTTTAAACGGCAAGAGCTTTTGAAGAAATTGCATTTTAATGTAAAGCTTGAAGTTATTGAAAGTTTTGAAAAACAAAAAATATAAAGTTTCACAATTTGATATAGGCAAAAGTTCAAAAGCTTAGAAATCAAACGTGATAATTTCACTACGTAGGTTATGCAATTTGAATGCAACCTATATGAATCAAGCAATCAGAATGTTTTCGCATTAGGGCACTTATTATATACTACTGGTTATTTTATAAGGTTTTCCAAACGATCAGGACAACTTAAATGTAAAATGCAAAGTTTCATTTTGGACTTTGATAAGATTTTCATAACTTACTATACAGGTAAGAAATAAATATAAAATACATGTTAATACTTGCGACAAATGTTACTCCATAGACTGCTGCTAATTTTCAAAATGCAAGAAATGTTGAATAAATAACAATAGATAAATGATGAATCAGATGAATGTTCAATATCTTCAATCAATACAATCTAGATTTCAAAGTAACATTTTAGTTGGTGCATCCGAACATACTAATAATGAACTAATTATTTCCAGCGCAAAGAGAATCGATCAAGTTGAAAAAACTTACAGTGAAATTACTAGCAGTGGCACTACGTTAACACCTGCAGTGTATGGAATTGAAATTTATCAGAGAAACGGCCAATTCTGAGGTCCATTTTCAATAACTCCCATTACCGATAATAATCTAATAATTGCGATGCTAAATTACAGACTGCTATCAAGACCTTTTAGAGTCTTCACTTTATGCTTTGCTAATTGCGTTAAATCATCTCGACGGCACAAAGCGGGAACTCACTAACACGGACGGCGACGTGAGCATTGTGATATTCTGAATACAATACACACAAAAAAGGTTGGTTCGCTCTGCCGATCACATTTAGATATATATATATATATATATATATATATATATATATATATATATATATATATATAGAAATAAAAAATATAACTGGTTGTTATTGGTATTTTGCCTTGAGACAAGTTACATGAACTTTCCGATATATGTAAATAATCGACTTATTCAATAAAAAATAAATTAATTTATGAATGATTAAAAGTTTACACATATTTGAAAACGAACGAACACGTTAACTCAGAGTATTTTTCAAAATCAAATTTTCAAAAATCAATAGATTTTATAATTGAACCCGTTTCTTCTAACTATAATGGTTTAGTATGTTCATTAAGACCAAGTACTCTATCGTTATACTCGTACCTGTTTATTTACCAAGTAAATCCTCTAATTTTAATTTTAACAAACGTCAAAAAAACTACTGATTTTCTCAAACTTTGGTGAATTTTTAAAATTAAACTACTTGTCGTAAGACCGTAATATTTCAGTAAGTTCTATAAGACCATGATATATATCGCCAACAAAAGTTCCATAAAAATCGGCTTCAATTTCTTTTTCAACGGTTAATTACAAGGAAACGACTTAGTAGATTTTCACCTAAAACTAATCAGTACCATTCTCAACTAAAATCTTTCGAACAGTTTTTGATTTTTTAAAGTTGATTCTGTAACTATGAGCTTAAAAGTTGACGAAAAGTTTAACACTTTTTTTCAAATTACAAAAAAACGGTTCGGCAGATCGTCGTACAAGACTAACAAACGATAGTTCTCATTGAGATACAACAAATAGCTTTTAAATTTTTGAAATCGGTTCAGGCGTTGTTGAGAAAAAACGTCGATCAAAGGTGTAATTTTAACAAATGCCAAAAGAACGAAACTAATTTTTGCAAACTTTGACGAAATTTTAAAGTTAAACGAGTTGTCGTAGGAGACCAATTTTTGAAAAATAGCAGAAAAATATACTTTCACAATGATGAATTATCTGATCATTTTACTGAAAATATTTAGATGTTTTTTTAATATGTGTTATATATTGCAATGTATCATGTATTGCACAGCATAATTGATGAAACTCATTTTGGACCTTTGTACCCCCTTTCATAAATCTATCTTTGATAAGTACCGTTTTATTTATTAAAATAAGACGACCCATTGCTTTTCAAAATACAATTATTACAAATAAGGTAAATACAACTTCTGTTTGAAATACTTACTTCATTTGCACATTTTTAATAAAGATCCAACCTTCATACAATCTTCGTATGCAACTTTTTCAGAAGAATTCATCATCCGAGTTGGAAAAACTATGAATTCAATTTATCTCTTGTCAAAATGTCTTTTTAAATTTATTTTACTTTTTTATTTACAACTTTTTTTGTTTACATCTATAGTTTATTTAATTCTTTTTGCCCCGACAACATGTCAGCTATTATAAAAGTAATATAAAAAACTGTTGAATATAACATAAAAATTATGAACATTTAATAATGTATTTTTAAATATTATATTCAAACCAAAAAAGCCAACAATAAAATGAAATACTTTTGTTAAAAAAATTGCAATGATGCCCTTTAAATTGCGATAGCAATGTCTACCAATTTAAGTCGATGACTGGTTACTCATCTTTTGCTTTTTACTTTAAAATAGCATGGTTGAAAAATCCAAACTTTATTTGTTTTTGAGATAATTGTAGTGGACCTTTATACCCCCAGCCTTTTAACAAACCCCTACACTATTTCATTTCGAATCACAAATATTTAAAAGAAAAACTGTATCCTTGCTGGGTCGCAGAAAAATTCAATAGAGTCGTATCAAAGCACAAAAATAATTATACATACACATATACCCCAACTTTTAAACTTTCGAATGAGTAAATTCTACGCGGGCCTAATTAACTTTTCCGAGTTTGTTGTGTATTTCCATAGACACAAATATCGTAAATTTATTTATGTTGAAAATTTTATTATATTCGATGTTTCTGCCAACGCCATTAAATTCAAAGCGCCAAAACGTGCCTTTGCTTTATTTTGATTGTTCTCCCGAAATTGTGCTTTAATTAATATTTATAGAATATTTTATTAGATTAGCATTTACATTGTAAATTATAACACACAATAAAACTTTATATTTATATATAAATCTGATATTTTGTTTCAGGAAATTTATATATCCATATATATGCTGGAATATATATATACTATAATAAATATGTAGGAAATCGTCTTAAAGAGTTTTTGGTAGAGACTCGTGAAGTTATTCTTTTGATGCTAATTGTTGAAAAATACCTTTATTTAATCATTTTAAAGTTCAGAAACTATCATAACTTACTAAAAATATTCTAAATTGATTTCGAAATGCGTTTATTGAAATTAAATGCATTTTTGCCTACTTTGTGAGCTGGATCAATGATTTTCGTAACCAGATTAAGATCAGATGAAATCCATCTATAGGCTAAAACCTTTTTACAGCTTTACTAAATATAAACAATTTTAAATACCAGTTTCTGGTGGTTTTTAAATTTATGTTTGTATTATTTATATTATTTTGTATATATTGAATATTAAAATCAAAATGTGCCAGCATCCGGAAAATATCAAACTTAATTATCTTCTATAACCCATATTTTGAATATTGTATGGCTATATATAACTAAGTTGTACATTCTGGATTATTTTGACGTAGAGTGTGTGCTGCTTTAGCAAGCCGCACTATTTCCAGATATCAATCTATTTTCAGAAAATTCTGAGTTCTGTTATATTTTAACTGTGATGCTTGACTGTTATCCACAAGGGCATAAATTGCATAACAATTTAAATTTTCAATCAATCTATAAAAGCAATTAATTAAAAGCCAATAAGATAGAAAACATTTGCAAATACTATTAATAATCCCGCCAAGTCAAGCAGAATAATCATTGCTATTAACAAATTGCATGATGTATATTTTATTGAATTTGAACTTTATAGCACTAATGGAATACTATTACTTAAAAGACATAAAGTAACATAGAAGGTAAAATCGATATGTGGGTTAGTTTTATGTTATTCGGAATCTAATCATCTCTTCATTAAAGAAGACAATCTCCTAGGACTTGTTATTCGCTCATAGCATATATATCATACAGATAATAATTATTCGGTATATAATCTATTTATTAGTAGTTATAGTAAGGGGCCGAAAATCGAAAATGAAAAGTTTTGCATTTCTCCACGTTTTGAAGGTTTCTGAACATTTTTGCAAGTAAGCATCCGATTTGAATGATTCAAAAAACTTTCTGCTTGTGTTGATGAAACAATTGCTTTTGGGAAAAAAAATTCATTCCATTTTGTTTTTTTATATTTGAAAATAATTCAGATTTCAATTTAAATTCTGGATAAAGTTCTAAAGCTCACTTATATAATTTTTATAGATATTAGACGATTTTTAGAAATATATTTAGTTTATATAATTCTTATAAATATTAGTCGATATTACATAATTTATAATAATCTATTCGAAAACATTCAATATTCCTCGAACATTTTGTTACGGTATGGGAAGTTCCAGCAATTTGCCTTAAGGCACGATGCAATAAACCACTAGTTTATTTATTTATTTAAATGTATGAAAATCAGGATGTCAAAGGCTGACTATTGCACAGGTAATCATAAATACAATTTGAACAAATCTTATTAATCAACCTTTAAATTATAATAAGAAATAAATCTCAGCTTTTTAAAAGCTTTTATAACAAAAGCCAATTGAAATCCATCCGCGTTTTGATAGCTGTTATATAAAAGTGCTTTAAACTTGTATAATAAACTTTTTGATAACAGAAATGTTTTGTATCAGTTAATGTTTTT